AGGAAGAGAATGTAGAGGAGCATCAGGAGTAGTCGTAGTAGTAGGAGGAGCAGGAGGAGGATGAAGAGGAGGAGGAGGAGGAGGAGAAGGAGGAGGAGGAAGAGGAGGAAGAGGAAGAGAATGTAGAGGAGCATCAGGAGTAGTCGTAGTAGGATGATGATGATCATGTGGATAAGGAGGAAGAGGAGCAGGAGGAGGAGAGGCAGACATCGGTTGGCGGGGGTCTCCACGCGGCATGTGCGTACGCGCGCGCGCGCCGCGGGGGGGCCGCCGCTATGAGCTGACGAGCATGTGACTGTCGTACTTCAGCACGAGAGACTTGATGTGCGCCAGCTTGTGGTGCAGGTACTGCAAGCGCTTCTTCTGCCCAACGTATGAGTCATTCTTGTTCGCACGATACTCCTTACGAATTTCCTTCTGCGTTTTCTGCGGGTGGAAAAAAGAGAAGAGAACGTGAGCATGGATGGACGTGCACACGTATGCACTCGCGCCACACACACACACACACGCACGCACGCACACATGCAAGTACGGACACACATCTCATAATGATAATAGCTGCACTGCGATAACTGAATGTGAACTCACGTTCGAATTTATTAACCCTCGTGATGTCCACATCATGATATCAGAATGCAATACATCAGCACGCACGCACGCACACGCACAAACACGCGCACGCATGCACGCACGCACACGCACAAACGCACGCACGCACGCGCACAAACGCACGCACGCACGCACGCACACAAACGCACGCACGCACGCACACACATTCCAAACCATGATTACAAAACCTCCGTCGAGGTCGCGCGGACAGCCCCCCCCCACCCACGCCGCGACTGTGCGCGTGGCGCCCCCTGTTGTGTATCTCACCAGGTATTCGGGGCTGCCCTTCAGACTCTCCTTGAGCTTGTCTTCTAGCTGAGCGAACTTCTTGGAGACCTTGTCGATCGTGGCGTGCAGCTCTCGGTATTCCTCGTACTGCGCGTTGAACTCTGCCTTGTACTCGGCCCGCTGCTCCGCCAACGTGATCACCGTGTACTTACTGCAACAGACAAACACACGTATCAATACCATACGCACAGACACACACACGCACGCACGCACAGACGCACACACGCACGCACCCCCAGACACACATACGCACGCGCACGTATTAGTACCGCATCGATGTCTGTTACGATGCTATGCATGCGTGCGGACACACACACACACGCACGCACCCCCAGACGCACACACGCACGTGCACATATCAGTACCGCGTCGATGTCTGTTACGATGCTATGCATGCGTGCGGACACACACACACACACGCAGCGGACCACCCCCACCTACCCACGTACCGTTGCCATGACAACTCCGCAACATGTTTAGATTCCGTGCCATCCGCGACCGACAGAAGTAGCGACCCCGTCCCCTACCACTCGCGGGCGAGTCCACGAAGCGCGACTTTCAAGCGGAATTCGCTAATCTTCGTATAATTTCACAAAATCTTTGAATCGCCAAACAAACACCCAGCCCTCGTTCTCACTCCGAACCACCCCCTTCTACCCACATACTGTTGTCACGACGACTCGTTATATACGTTAAGATTCTGCGACCGACGTAATTTCACGAAATTTTCAAACAAAATTGTTCAAAAATAACCGCAACCACCCGGGAGACACTGCGCGCACGCGACCGACAGCAGGTGGCGCCGCCATCGCTCGCACACTCACGTCTGATAATCGGGGATGTCGGACGTGGACGTCGGGGTCGTGCGCTCGGCCGAGCAGCCGTTGTGGTAGTTCTCCTGGCTGCCCTCCTGGCTGTCCGGCGACGCCGTGCGCACCTCGCCCGCCGGCTTCGTCGACGTCACTTTGGCGCTGGTGCTGACCGTCGTGCTAACCGCTGCGCCGCCGCCCCGCCCTCCCCCGCCGCCTCCCCAGGGGGCGGGGGGCGTGGAAGGGGTGGGCCCGCGCTGGTGCGGCCAGCCGGTGGCTGCCCCAGGGACGAGCCGAGATTTCTTGCCTGCTCGGCTGCAGGTGCGCGACTACCGGACACGGTCGCTTCTGCGGACGAAAGGTGAAAGCACAAATATGCCGTGGTTAGAAGTCCGAAGCGTAACACAGGCGTATGCACGGCAGCGCACGCACGCACGCCACACGCAACGAACGGCATCACGCAGCCAACGCCACGCCACACTACACACAACACACACAGCTACCTCTCCTCCCCCAGACAGCAACATCACCATCACCAAACAGTAGCCGGCCAACCTATCAACAACAGTAGCGCCGCACCTACCTCGGACAGCAGCCTGGAGGGGGCGTGCGGGCCGCCGGTCGTGCTGGAGGGACTCGTCCTCACCGTCACGCCGGGAGATTTCCTCTCCACCCTAGAGGGCGACACAGTCGGCTCGTGCTCGCCACCTGCTGGTGGCGTCAGATTCTGCGGCATGCGTCTGCGGCAGAAATGCTGGCCGTTGAGCGCAAACGCGATGGACGAATGGAAAGATAGTACGCATTAAGTAGTTCGTTAAAAGTGACGGCCTCACTTTAAAAAATCTAGTGGTGGAGCGTCTCTTGACTAGGTTTTTACCTGCATTTTTATTTTGTCTTACTTTGCACTGTCCCTTTGTGACCTTTTACCACATATGTAAGCACCTGTGTTTACATGTATATGTATGTATGTATCTGTGTATCATGTATACCAATTGTAAATAATCTCAGAGATTTATTTACACTCAGTGTAGATAGGCCGTACCGCTGAGCTAGAGCAACAACACACTGGTACAGGAGGTTGACCCCCTCGCTCCGCCGACCCCACCTAACCCCCCCCCGCCATTCAACTACTGCCCACGGTTTAAACCCTCATAAGCTCAACGCTTTCACAGTGCGACCCCCTGCTCCCTTCCTCCACTGTGTGACCCCAGGATCCCCCACCCCCACCCCGACCCCGCTTACCCCCACCCACCACAGTGTGGGACCCTGTTGACTCCTGCCCCGCCATGCAACCCCCGCGCCCCACCCTCTTGAGCAACTGCCTTGCCGTTTCCGTTTAGAAAGCGCCAGCTGGGCTGCGACGTCGGTCTGGCTTAGAGGCCTGGCGCGGAGCGAGTAGATGTGTCCTTCATGAACGGCGCCCGTCTGCCGACAGTATTCTGCTAGCACGTTCTTGTCCTTACCTCCCTAATCCCGTCTTGCACGACAAGAAAAACGGGAAAAATTAAAAACAAAAAAGTCCCGTCTGCAAACACACAAAAACAAGGCCGATTTCATTTTCTTTCGACGTTCCCGACTGGGCGGGGCGGAGCGGGCGGCGCGGGTGTGGGGCGGGGGGGGGGGGGGGGGTGACGGTCGCGGAGACCGGGGGCGGGGGCCGGGCGGGGAGGGGCGTGACGTCACATGACGGCGCAGTGCTGTTAGCCGCACATTATTCGGCAGCGCGACTGGGGGATAGCGCACCATGAAAAGGCATGTGGTCGCGCGGCGGCGGGCCACCGCGTCGGTCAGTGAGGGGGGGGGGTGCGGCGGCGATCACGCTCGGCGGCCGGTACAATCGGGCTTGGGGTGCGGTGGCGGAGGGGGGGGGGGAGGGGTCGGGGCCGGGGCGCGCGCCCAAGCGGAGTGGCGCGGGGCGGCAGGGGCCGGCGCCGGGGGCCGCCGGGGGGGGCCGGCGCCGGGGGGCGGCGCCGGCGGCCGGGGGCGGCCGGGCGGGCGGCCAGCCAGGCGGGCGGTGGCCGTGGGGGGCCGCCGGCGGGCGCTCGTCACCGCAGTGCGCAGAGAGATTCGGGCAGACGATTCGGGGAAAATTCACGGGGCTCGGGGTGCGATTAGGCCCCCCGCAAATGCCAAAAAGAGCCCCCGCCAATATTTGCATAGAGCTTCAATGGGCCAAACCAAAATTTTCACGAATGCTATTTTCATGCACGCGAGCTTTGAAAAGTAGCCCACCGCAAAATAAATTATTATTTTTTTCCCTGAGTGACGTCACTGCCTTCGTTGACTCACCCCCCCCCGCCGCGGCGCCCCCACGAAACCCGTCTGCGCTACGCTTACCTTTCATCCAGCCTTGCTAGCCCAGCTCTGGCTTGCGTGTCCTAGCGGACCTAACGGCTAGCAGGTGCAATCACTCTCTCCCTAAAATAGCAAAACGAGTGTACGTAGTGGCAAGCCCAGCGTACCGGCGTTTCGGACCCACGGGCCGGCCGCCGCGGCTCGCGAGCGCATCGCCGAACCGCCACAGGTGGCGCTAGCGACCTCGGTCCGGAACGAGCGGAGAGGAATCTACGCTCGTGTGATTCGACCCACATGCGCATCTTCGACCGCAGGTATAGACACCCGTAGGTGTGCATGCGATTTTTTCGTCCATCGATAGCAGCATCGGCAGAAATGAAACGGGAAATGCGCGTAACTATAAATTCAATATGCTCAATCCGCGCCCTTAGGGTGCGACCACACTAGGCCGATTTTTCATGCGCAGATCGAGCCGAGCGACGAATCGCGTGAAGTGTGTCCTACAGCTTAAACGAACTCTTATTTCGGCGAGCGTCGAGCCGGAGCGGGAGCGAAATCAGAGCCGACGTCTAAAGGAGTGGTTCCCGTGCTGTCCCGTGAACCGTGCGAGGAGCAAGGCGGATGTGGCCGCCGCGCCGCGGCTAATGGTCTCCCTATCACGTGCAGCGGCGGCACGAGCAGCGTATTAATGCACCCGACACACGAGCGTCGATCGCTTCCCGCTGCCCTTCTCCGTCATACTCGCGACGATTCGAAAGAAACGGCGTTCGCATTGCGTCGTCCCGTGTTTCTGCCTGCCGAGGATTTTCTCGAAAAAACGTATATTTACAAAGTAGTTGGCGTCAGTGGTGAATTCTTTTGTAGTCGGACGTGAACACTGCTGTCGATTCTCTCTTACTCTCTCTCGCTCTCTCTCTCTCCTCTCTCTCTCTCTCTCATCTCTCTCTCGCCCTCTCCTCTCACTCTCTCCCTCTCTTTGACTCTCTCTCTCTTTCTCTCTTTCTATCTTTGGCTCTCTCTCTCTCTCTCTCTCTCTCTTTTGCTTTCCCTCTCTCGATTAATATATATAATAATATATATATATATATATATATATATACATATAAATAAATAAATATATATATATACATGTATATATATATATCGAGAGAGAGAAAGAGAGAGGTGAGAGAGATGGTGGTGGTGAAAGAAAGCAAGAGAGCGAGAGAGAGAAGGGGAGAGAAAGAGCGAGAGATGGCAAGAGTCAGAAAAAATATGAGAGAAAAGGCTCCAAGGTTCCTCTCACTCTCTGCTCACGTGCCCTTACACTTCACACACAGCTACTCGCAAATATCCACGATGTGCACGTGGCAACCACGATAGAAGAAAAGCTAACTGCAATAGTCCACGCATGTTGCACCGTGGCCGACCACGCATAGAAGCAAGCTAGCTGTCAAATATCCACGCATGTGCACCGTGGCAACACGTATAGAGAAGCTACGCTGGCTCAAATATCTACGATGTGCACGCTGGCCGAACCACGATTAGAGAACGCTAACTGTCAAATATCCACGATCCGCTGCACGTAGGCCGACCACGCATTAGAAGAAGCTTACTAGTCAAATATCTCACGATGTGCACGTGCGCGACCACGACAGAAGGAAGCTTACTAGTCAAATTCCACGCATCGTGCCACGTGCAGCACCACCGATAGAAGAAGCTTACTGTCAAATCTCCACGAATGCTGCACGTGGCGCCACGATAGAAGCAGCTAGCTGGGTCCAAATCATCACGATGTGCAACCGTGGCCCGACCACCGATAGAGAAGCTAACAGCCAAATATCACGCATGTGCACGTGGCCAACCACGCATAGCAAGCAGCCTAAACTGTCAAATATCCACATTGTGCCACGCTGGCTCGACCACGATAAAGCCTAGCTGTCAAAATATCCACGATGTGCACGTTGGCAACCAACGATTAGAAGAAGCTTACTGTCAAATCAATCCCACGCATTCGTGCCAACACGTGGCGCAACCACGATAGAAGAAGCTAACTGTCAAATATCCACGATGTGCACGTGGCGACCACGATAGAAGAAGCTAACTGTCAAATATCCACGATGTGCACGTGGCGACCACGATAGAAGAAGCTAGCTGTCAAATATCCACGATGTGCAACGTGGGACCACGATAGAAGCAAGCTAAGCTGTCAAAATATCCACGATGTGGCACGTCGGCAACCACGATTAGAGAAGCTAACTAGTGCAAATATCCACGATGTGCACGTGGCGACCACGATAGAAGAAGCTAACTGTCAAATATCCACGATGTGCACGTGGCGACCACGATAGAAGAAGCTAACTGTCAAAATCCACGATGTGCACGTGCAACCACGATAGAGAAGCTACACTGTCAAAATCCACGAATGTGCACGTTGGCGACGCACAGAGGTAAAACAAGCTAGCCTGGTCAAATATGCCACTCGATGCTGCACGTGGCAACACGATAGCATAGCTAACAGTCAAATATCCACGCATGTGCACGTGGCCCGACCACGATAGAAGAAAGCCTAACTGTCAAATATCCCACGATGTGCCCCACGTGGCCCGACCATTGACAGAAGAAGCTAGCTGATCAAATATCCACGATGTGCACCGTGGCGAAAACCACGACTAGTAAGAAGCCTAACTGTCAAATATCACGATGTGCACGTCGACCACGATTAAGAAGAAGCTAACTGGGCAACATATCCAACGCATGTCACGTGACGACCACCAATAGAATCTA